TTAAATTATGTGATAACGAGTATTAATAGTGTTAAAATAATGGATAGAAGTTGATTATATTTGTTGTTTTTTTTTGGTGTCTAGATATCTCCATTGAGATCCAAGTTAGATTCCACTGAGATCTGAGATTCCACATCTACATTCAATGACCATGCATGACTTCCTAAACTGTAGCAGACTATACATATATTGAAGGTAAAAAATCTACAATTTGAAGGTAACATAAAGTTTCAAACAATGCATTTACATTTCTAATGTGGTATTTTTATGAAATTTTTTGTGTGGAAATTGAAAGGAAAAAGTGCATGATAAGAATGATCAAGTTTAAACACAATATTCTACATTAATTAGAATCTTCCAGTTAATAAATATGAATTAACTTCTTGTTGAATGCATTTGATATTTTAAAATCTTGTGAACATGCCTGCAGAAATCTCAGTAAATAGTTATATCTAAATGAACAAAAAAACCTCCACATATGTAGTTCATTACCTCTAGTTTTATTTGAATAAATTTGTCAATTTTTTTGTGAAAATTGATGTTTACTTTCTAGAAATAAAAGTGGTTAATTTGGCAGAAACATTGTTAATCTGCTTTTAACAGAAAATAAAAGTATCGTAAGATAGTGGATTTAAAAATATATTTTATGATTTGTTTAGAGGATAACTTTTCAATCTTAATTACATCTTTTGCACAATGTATGCATAGATTTTTTAAAGTCCTGTCATAATACAGCATTAAAATCAAAACTTTCATCAGATTCCTGAATCTGAGATACTTTATAAAGTGATTGACTATTAAAGGTATACTTCTCATTTTACATGTTTTAGGGAGATTTTATATAATGATGAAAATACATTAAAGTAAATCCAAGTGATATAACATGCATGATTTTAATATATCAGACCAAAATAAAAAAAAAACTGGTGGCTCTATTGTGCATATTCTGTCAATTTTATTTTCAGAGTCTTCAAGAAAAGTAATAGCTGTTGACGATGAACATCTTACTTGAACCATCTTTATATTTTCCACTTTTCTTCAGATGTCAGAGTGATATTCAGTGAATCAAAGATTTAACCATTCTTGATCAGAGTTATGATGTTCTTTAAATGGTAGATATTTTAAACTTAATCTTTTGCTTTTAGAATTTTTTTTGTGCTATTGGAACATTTTCTTATTAAGTTGGACCTTTTTTATGCCTCTGCCATAAGATGTAATAGGTATACAGGGATCAAGTTTAAGTTTACACTCTAACTTTACAAAAGGTATAGTGTATATTATACTGATATACTGGAATGTCTCTTAAAATCAGTGAAGTCTGAGTTTCTTGATGATGGCTCATTTTTACAAAAGTTATGGTCTTATATCTTAGTTTTTGAAAATTTTTAAACAATCGGTTAGTGCCTTTAATTTATTTTTCAAATCAGTAAGAGAAAAAAAGTAGAGCATAAAAATTACAACTCCTTTAAGGCTTGAATAAGTAAAAATTGTGATGATATGTTAAACTTAGTCACATACTTGTTGAAAAAGAGTATATATGTATATATATTCCCTTCCAGATAGCTTGGCAGTTTTATGAAGGTGATCAGCAGAATTGTCTCGCAGTGAGAAGTCTACCCCCAACTTTCTCCATCATTTTCTGAGGTTTACGCATACAGAGGCATTTTGTTGCAAAACGAATATGACTTGACAGCTGAAGATTTTAACCAAGGAAAGACAACTTGATGAACTTTGCTTTGACGGGTCAATAACTACTAAACAAAAATCAGGGACATTGCTTAAATGTTAAGAAATAGTGCAAGCACATTCTAAAATGTAAGCTTCCAAGTGACCAATATATAGGATTCTTTGATTTTTTAAAATAAAACAGGCCAAAATTTTTTTTATTTCCTTACAAGGATTATATAGGAATTTATATTTTCTTTTTTCTCCCTTACTTTTTTAAGAAATGAGCTAAAATCCATGGGTGCTTTGTACTACATGTACCTTGAATTACAATATTTTAGAATATGATGTTTTACAATTTTTATGCCCCCCTTGGAAGAAGGTAGCGCAAATTGCTTTGCTGCTGTCCGTCTGTCAGTCAGTTTTTTGGTACACCATGAGTTTCCGTTCATTTTCTTCTCAGAGGTTTTCACATACTGAAATGAAATTTGGTATACTGATTTATCATAAGAATATCTATGTTACTTGAAATTATAGGAAAGGGTTTTGAGAATTTAATTAATTTCAGAACCCCTTAGGTTTAAAAAAATATTTTTGTTTCCTGTTACATTCCCAAAAAATCAAGGGTTGATAGGTTGGGAATTCTTTTTTTTTTTTTTTTTTTGGGGGGTATATAGAACATTGTCCATCTGAATATACCAATGGTTTGTCATATTTACATGGACACCCAACATGGCATCCAAAATTGCTGTCTAGCCCCTTCAGAAAGAATTTATCCCCAACAACTCTTTATATTTAACCTTTGCCATAACTTTTGAACTGTTAAGTAGGTTGACCTATTTTATGTCTCAAGTTATGCTACAAGCTAATTTTTTTTAATGACCTTGACTGTGACTTGTATCTAAAAATAGCTTTTTTGATTTTTAAAACACAATTACTACTAAACCATAATTTGAGATAGAGTCTTCGGTATTTGGTAACATACTCCGATAATTGAGCTTTTTCAAACAACATCAATTTTAATATGACCTTGCGTTTTTTTAGGGTGTGGGTGTATATGCTGAAAAATAGTTTTTAAATCTGATTTCAAAAGTACCGTTTGGTCTTTTCTTATTTGTTTGTGGGGGTATTAGCCCTATTTGGACAATATTGTTTTTGACCTCTCTGTCTGTTTGACAGTTTATCTGTTTGTCTGTCTGTTATAAACTTTAACCTTTGCCATAACTTTTGAACTGTTAGAGATAGAGACTTCATATTTGGTATGAATACTACCCTAATTAAGCACTTTCAACAATGTTTTTTTAATGACCTTGACTGTGACTTGTATGCTAAAAATAGCTTTTTTGATTTTTTGCAATTACTTCTAAACCATAAGAGATAGAGTCTTCATATTTGGTATGCATACTCCGATAATTGAGCTTTTTCAAGTAACATCAAGGCCAATGACCTTGCGACCTTGTTTGTGACCTATATGCTGAAAAATAGTTTTTAAAGCAAGATTTCAGAGAAGTACCGTATATGTCTTTTCTTATTCGTTTGTCGGGGGTATTAGCCCTATTTGGACATTTTTAGCTCACCTGAGCCTTCAGCTCAAGTGAGCTTTTCTGATCACATTTTGTCTGTCGTCCGTCCATCTACCTGTCCGTCTGTCTGTTTGCTGTTAACTTCACATTTTCAACTTCTTCTCAAGAACCAATGGGCCAATTTTAACCAAACTTGGTACAAAGCATTCTTGGGTGAATGGGAATTAAAATGTCACAATAAAGGGCCAAGTCCCCTTACAAGGGGAGATAATCAAGGAAAGATAAAAATAGGGTGGGATCACTAAAAAATCTTCTCAAGAACCACTGGGCCAGGAAAGCCGAAACTTGTGTGGAAGAATCCTTGGGTAGTGTAGATATTAAATTGTTAAAAAAGTCATGGTAGTGTAGATATTAAATTTTACATAATATATGACCCCCGGGGGTAGGGCGAAACTTATGGGCCACAATAGAGAATCCAAATTTTACATAGAAATATATAGAACAAATCTTTAAAAATCTTCTTCTCAAGAACCAGTATGGCAGGAAAGCTGAAACTTATGCATCCTTGGGTAGTGTAGATTCTAATGTTTTAAAACCATAAAAGGGAAGGGGTAGCGGGGCATGATAGATATTGCTAGAGGGGGACTCTGGTAAAGAACTGCATCACCATAGTTACTCAGGTGAGTGATGTAGCCCATGGGTCTCTTGTTTTAATTATACACCACCATTTGAACATTTGAATTTTATACTTTATCAATTCTGTTTTACAAGAAGACATCTTTTTAAACCTGTCAATAACATATTGAATTCTTATTGTACTTATTATATACATACATGTATACCAGGTATATGTTTACTTTCTTAAGATTTTATTTGTAAAAACTAAATAATTCCTGAACTTTTGCTATGACTACAGTTAGTGCTGAATTTTTAATGAATGTTTGAATTAAAATGAAAGGTCATATTCATAAAAAAAATGCATTTTTGACCATAACCAGTATATTGATCAACTCTTGAACTGTTGAATTTTTATATCTGTAGATTTGTATAATTGTGAACAACTCTTTTCATGTATATGTATAAGAACTCTACTTCTGAATACAGTATATAGTTTGTAAAGTTCTTTTGGTTTTTTATTTACTTTTATTATTGTTATAAGTAATCATGTACATTCATTTTGTAGTTTATTGAATTATAAGATATACCTTGTCCATTCTGAGAATAATGAATTACCATTTAAAGAGTTCAGATATCTACAAACAATAATGATGTTTCAGAATTTGAAAATCATCTGTCCCTTAAAGTAACGTTGGATTGTAATACCAATTTTAACTGGATTTTGTGTGGGGAACTTTTGTTAATCTGATATTTAGTGATCTCTCTTGAAGGACATTGAAGGATATGCTTCGATAGACAGCACTGATTGTGACTCTAGACCATGCCAATAATTTTGAATCTATCTGACTCTTTCAGCTACTTTGTGTGTCATCTTCTCATAATATTTGCCAGATATATCCTTCTAAAAATTAAACGTGTGTGATCTTAAAAATGTGGATACCACTGAGTTGGATTTCTTCATTGACTGTATGACTTTTATCTTTTGTTGAAATATTTTGAACTTTATTTTGATCTGTGCCTTGTTTAGTTTTCTTAATTTGATACTAAGAAAACCATGATAAAACTGGACATACAAAATATTAATTATATTGTTCACTTAATTATATCTTATTTATGCTTTGTCAACTTCTTTGTAAATATGCTTTTTTCAAAATAAGAACTCATACAGTTTAAAAATGTCATTAAATTGTCACACCTATAGTTGAACTTAAAATATAAAATCTCAGAATCCCTGATTCAAATGAATACCACATAGATCATGTAGATTTTGTGAGCATCAAGTGATGCCTTCCAGTAGATCAAATGTAATATATAAAAAATGTTTAATTTACAGGTAAGTATGAAAAGAGGGGGTCAATGGCCAGCCCGTAAAGGGAGGTAAACCTACCTCTTTTAGAAAATAATAAAAATACTGATAAATATGATGGCACATTATGCTACATTATAATAAAAAAAATTAAGATGAATAAAAAAATATTCCCATAAAATTTCAACATGATTATTTGAATCAAGGGTTCTGTTAATATAAAGTGCTATGCATATTTTTGTAACACATGAAAACCCCTTTTTTCCCAATCACTTACACATAACCTTTCCCGTTTTCGCTTTCATTGGAAAAGGTATGTATATTGAGTGATTGTGTTTTTCTTAATTGACCAATATATTTAAGACAAAAATGCATATTTGACTGCATTTTCAAATGATTTTTTTCCCATTCTATATACAGTTATACTCGTCATCAAGATTTATTGTCATTAGCAATTTTATGTTTTAGATTTAATTATACATCTACTGATTTTATTAATGCATGTATGTATTTGACTTAATTACTACTTCACATGTATGTGAAAGTAAGTTTCAAGATAAGTAATATATTCAAATTGTATATTCTAATATCAAATGTGTCAACATAGTGTAATGTTCCATATTGTTAATCGTTGTATCTGTCGTTTTACTAAAAAAGAAAGATCATATTGTTACCTGCAGATAATCACTAGCTAGCTATAAACTTGCATAACTTTCTTGTTCCTGAATAAAGTTTTAAGCACAGTCAAACATTTTTCTTATTCACTGAAGGGAGGTTATTAACAGATTGCAATTGTCAAACTGACTGCAAAATACCATAATCAATGAACAATCTTTGGCTCATTTAAGGAATTATAGTATGCACATGTATGCCTGAAGCCTAGATGTTCAAACTTCCTTGTGTAAAGAAAACAATTAGTCAAACTGGAATTTAAGCATCTCCATAATGTGTGGATTCAATATACATGTAGATTTTGCATTCCATATATGAATGATTTTTTATGTTAAAAATAGGCATATGATATTTACAATAAGTACAGGAAAACAAACAGCCAGAGGTGTTGTTTAACAAGATTCTCGATGTAACTTGAGACAATTATTGTCTTAATAATATTTATAAAAATCATGTCTAATACCTCACCTGTAAGCAACATTTACATAATTTATGGAAAAGTTTTAAATGCTCAAGTTATCTGATAGTTTTTTTCTCTCATAAGCGGAAGTTGACATTTTGTTTCCACTCGGATTAGCATATTTAGGAACTACAAATAAGATGCAATAAGACGATGCAAGGGGAAAAAATCAGAAAGGTAAAGTTAAATTTCAGATTTTTATGATCACTTCCTGTATCCTGGTAACGACCGGATGTGACCACTGACGCGTTTAGCTCAATATGTTTTACCTACTCCTTCAAATCTGTTTTTTTTTATAAGATGTAATCTTAATCTCTGATTCTTTTTTGGTCTCATGAACTTCTCATTTTAAGGACAGGAAAACACACTACCGGAAGTGAATTTGCAGAGATATTTGACGGTACACTAGACATTTGATGTCTGAATAGCATATTAAAATTCATTTCAAACACTTCATCTATAAAAGATATTCATTGGAAAGGAAAATACTCAAATTGTGTAGTTTTATTATCTTTTATAACCGGAAGTTGTCGTTTCTGTTTCAGTTGTTGTTGAAATATTTTAAAACTAGTTATTAGATGCAAAAATGTACTGCAAAACTGCTTCAAAATAAAAAAAGTAAAAGTTTTCAATTTTTTATCACTTCCCCTGACCTAGCTGCAGATCTGTAGCGTTATGGTTTTATATATTTGTCTTTGACCATATTTGTTATGGTCAAAGACAAATATATAAAACTATAACGCTACAGATCTGCAGCTACCCCTGACCATCAGAAGTGACGGCTGACACATTCTACCCTATATCTGTTGCCCACTCTTTTATGGTTTATTATTCATATAAGTTCAATGGCTTGATCTGTTACAGTTTTCGAGATGTCGTTATTTTACCATCTTATTTTGAGAACATGAAATCACATAAAAAGATATTTGAGGTTACTCTAGACATTTGCATCTGAATAACATGTCCTAAAATCATTTCAAATACTCTTTCTCTAAAAGATATTCATCGGATAGTATGATACTCAATTTTTGCAGTTTTTCTCTCATAACTGTGACGACCGGAAGTGACGGTGGATGATCTTATTACAAGTAGATTTGTCTATTTATCAAGATCTGTTAGTCCTATAAGTTTGGTATCTTAATGGCTTGCCGTTTGTGAGATCTAGCTGTGATAACTTCTCATTTTGAGGACAGGAAATCACGCGACCGGAAGTGAATTTCATAAAGATATTTGACGTTACTGTAGACATTTGCAGTCCATATAACATATCCAAAAATCATTACATATGCTTTTTGTATAAAAAAAAATATTCATAGGGAAGAAAAATACTGAAAATATGCAGTTTTTCTCTTATAACCGGAAGTTGTTGTTTTTGTTTTCTTTGTGACTGATACATTTCCAAACTACAAATAAGATGCTATAATGTGATGTAAAAAAGTTTCATAAAAGAAAAGTTGAAATTTTTGATTTCTTTGATCACTTCCTGTGACGACAGGAAGTGACGGCGGACGATCTTAACCCAAATGGTTTTGCCTACTAATTAAGATCTTTTACTCATATAAGTCTGGTGTCTTAATCTCTTACCGTTTACGAGATCTAGCTATGATAACTTCTCATTTTGAGGACAGGAAGTCAGGCGACCGGAAGTGAATTTTACAAAGATATTTGACGTTACTGTAGACATCTGCAGTCTGAATAACATATCCAAAAATCATTACAAATAATTTAACTATAAAAAATATTTATGGGAAAGAAAAAACTAAAAGTTTGCAGTTTTTCACCTTTAACCGGAAGTTGTCGTTTTTGTTTCCGGTGGGACTGATACATTTCGAAACTACGAATAAAATGCTATAAGGTGATGCAAAAACAAATTCAAAAAAGAAAAGTTGAATTTTTCGATTTCTTTGATCACTTCCTGTGACAACCGGAAGTGACGGCGGACAATCTTACCCCAAATGGTTTTGTCTACTAATCAAGATTTATTACTCATATAAGTTTGGTGTCTTAATCTCTTACCGTTTATGAGATCTAGCTATGATAACTTCTCATTTTGAGGACAGGAAATCACGCGACCGGAAGTGAATTTTACAAAGATATTTGACGTTACTGTAGACATTTACAGTTTGAATAACATATCCAAAAATCATTTCAAATACTTTACGTATAAAAAATATCTATGGGAGAGAAAAATACTGAAAATATGCAGTTTTTCTCTTATAACCGGAAGTTGTCGTTTTTGTTTCCGGTGGGACTAATATATTTCGAAAGTACAAAAAAGATGCTATAAGTTAATGCAAAAAAAGTTTCAAAAAACAAAAGTTGAAATTTTCGATTTCTTTGATCACTTCCTGTGACGACCGGAAGTGACGGCAGACAATCTTACCCCAATTGGTTTTGCCTACTTATCAAGATCTATAAATCGTATAAGTTTGGTGTCTTAATCTCTTACCGTTTCTGAGATATGACTCGGACAAAACTTTTTTGAAAAAACGGAAATTGGACATATCTGACGACCGGAAGTGACTTTTGAAAAACTGAAAACTGCATCTGAAAGATATTTTAACTCTCCATCATTCCTGAAAATTTCATGAGAATCCCTCCAGTCATCTCTGAGAAATCGTCAAAACAAAAAGGAAAAAGTGATAAAAAAAATCGGACATTCGGGGGAGCGAACCCGGGTCGCCCGCGTGACAATCCAACGCGCTAACCATTCGGCCATTGAAAACACCGCTTCAAATTTTTAAATGCGAATATCTCGAGACTGCCTTTTTCGATTCTAAAGAAAATTACACATTACGCATTTGCAAACGAGTCTCTATTTAAATTAAAAACAACAAAGAAAAATATTGAAAAACAAAAAAATTGAAAAGGTGCATTTTTTAAATATGCTTCCGGTAGAAACCGGAAGTGCTGACGACGCACGAAAAGGCAATTCTGCAAACCAGAAAGTCATGATCTATCATCTCCAATAAGTCTCCAGTTCATATTCTCAGCCATTTTCAATAAAAGTGCGCGACAAAATCGCATTTTAAAATCAGGGGAAATCGTCCATAACTTGGCACCAAAAGCGAATTTACCAAAAATTTTTCGGCATGCACAACTTCATGTTATGACACATATTTTGTGAAAGTTTCATCAAAAAGCACTAAATAGTTTTCGAGAAATCGCATGCACAAAATTTTGTAAAAAAAAAGAATAATAAATATAAACTAAATTAAACGGTCTTTAAAAATATGATTTTCTTGTTTTTGTCTCTTCTGTTTGTTTAATATGACACAAGTGTGCATGGGAAAAACAGTGGTTACGTTTTATGCTTACTATATATAAATCGATATTGTTTCTTGAAAAACTATTACTTATAACCATGATTTGAAATATGTTTTTCCGTCGTGCAAAAACAAATGATAGTAGGTATCTCTAATATGCACATTCAGTCTTTTCTTTTTCTACTTTGAGAACCAGCCAAAACCAATAATAGAAAACGTTTGAAAAGACCCTGGAATAAATCTTTAGTTTTACACAGAATTGTAACGTTATTACTACATGACAATCCAGTAGTCTTTAACCTTTCATTTATCCCTATCTTAATTTCGTTTAAGCAAACGCTCGGATGCCTCCATAAACCCCTACTCGCGAAATGGCGGTGTTGACAGAGACAGCCGCCATCTTGATCCCGCTTCATATTTTCAAATGTTAATATCTAAAGTTCAGATTAACTAATATTCAAACAAATTATATAGTAAGCTCTATTGAAAGAGTGTCTATTAGCATTCCAAAAAGAAATGAAAAATATTGAAAATCAAAAAAGTTAGAAAATTCGATTTTTTATCTTCGCATCTCCTTACGACAGGAAGTACTGACAACGAACAAATTGTCGCGTCCTGGATAGTAAATATCACGATTTATAATCCCTGAAAGTTTCATGTTGATATCTTTTACCGTTTTTGAGTTTAATTGTGGACAAAATGTCATTTTAATTTCAGGAAAAGTCCCGTAACTTGGCACCGGAAGCGAGTTTTCAAAAAATCTCTCGGAAAAAATAACTTCAGATAACAACACATTATTCCTGTATATTTCATGAAAATCCATCCAGTAATCTTTGAGAAATCGCGTGCACAAAATTTGATGTACGGAAAAATAATAATAATAAGAAGAAGAAACAATAGAATCACTATAAGGTCTTCCGTGAAGACGGAAGACCTTAATAAAAAGAAAAAACAGTAGAATCACTATAAGGTCTTCCGTCTGAAACGGAAGACCTTAATAATAAGAAACAGAGTAAAAACAATATGTTCCCCAACTTCGTTTGGGGAACATAATAACAGACCCTTGCACTCTTCATGCATTATTCTACTAAAATAAAAAAGTGTCCAAAGCATTGGTTTATAGATTATAATTATCTTTAGGAATTTATAATTATGTAGAACTGATATATTAATTTAGAATGTGTTTTTTTTCTGTAATTATGAAATTAATACAGGGTAAACATTAAAAAACCCTTTAAAACGCTACTCCTCCTACAATTTTTGTCTGATTTCAATATAACTTGGCACACAAGTAGACTACATGTACACCAAGATACATTAAATAATGCATCGATTTTTGATTTCGATGAAC